TTTACCATGACCATTACCAACAGAGTATAGCAACAGATAAGACATATGAACTTGACGGTGTAACTTTTAGAATGAAATGTCTTAGATGGAGCACTTTCTCATAGCTTGAACTTAGTCAGTACATTCAACTCAGGATCAAATTAAAATGATTTCAAACTATTTGTTATAACGGGAAGCTTAGTCCTAACGTGATTTACATTTCTCAAACTTTTGCTGTGTTCTCAAGCAACAAAAGTACCATTTCCGATCTAAAGAATCTATTCTGAGCAATACGTTCGGTAGATTAATTTTTTTGTGTTTCACTCAAATTAATAGTTAACTGTGGTTTTGCCTCAGCTCACTATCGGTTTTTTTATAGTTTTCACGTAAAGGCTAGCTTTAGCTTATCGCTAACTGTTTTTATACATTTTTGCCAGTTTTTGTTTACTGTGTTTTTTTTAACGGTCCTAAACTTTCTGCTTGTATTTTTAAGACAGTCTAAATCACTAGCCATGAAAAATTCATGCAAAAGACCTGGTTGCCGTTTTGCCGTTACATCTGGCATGCAGTGTGACAACTGCAAAGGTTGGTTCCACGAGACATGTACATATCTAACAGCAGCAGCCTATAGCAGACTCAGCAAGTGTGATCGTAGGTGGGTATGTGTTACCTGCAACACCGATACGGTAGTTATGTTGGGTACTATCATTACTTTACTGACAGGTCTGAGAGATAAGTTGTCTAAGAATTCGGTAAATGATAGCGTCACGACGGGTAACAAAGCTGGAACGCATAGGGCAAATAAGAAAAAGGATACTGACAGGTCGGTTATCGACGGTGCTGTTAACAGCACGAGTGATGATGAGCTGAAACTCAGCACCATCTTAACATCGACTGTCATCGACTCCCTCAATAAACTTGGGTCCCCCAGGGAACGGTCCTTGAATGAGACAGTGGTTCCCAAAAATCCTGTAGGTGATTGGACTCACGTTAACAGGAGTAATAAAGCCCAAGCGTCCCCGCCGAAACTGAACGTCCCAAGTATCGTGCGGAAATCACTTTATGCTTTGGCTGCACAGTCTACCCCCAAGACTGTTCGCCCGGTCATCACTGATCCCAGGAATCGAAAACGCGCCTCGACATCCAAACAACAAGATATCAAACCTAGACGCCCTGGAAAACCTGGGAAATCAATTGCGGTTCGTGACGACTCTGTCATAATCATGAACCTTATTGACAACCCCGATCTTCCTCTCAGTTTGCAGGACAAAAACGATAGGATGCTCTGTGGAGAATTAAACAAGAGGCTTGAACTCCCTAGAATAGAGCCTTTGACCGTCACACGGCTCACTCGGAAGAAGGGCTCTAACCACCTAAACCACCCGAGGCTGCTTCGTGTTACACTTAAGAATGCCTCCGACGTAGAGGACGTCCTGCTAGCCAGTCACTTACTGAAGTCCGATGGGAACGTAAGAATACTGCCCGTATTCTGAACGAAATCTCATCCGGAACATCCCTAAGGAATCTCGCGAGGCGTTTTTCCGTTGACGAAATATAATTGTGCAAGGTGTGCCGGAAAATATGGACCCAGCTCAAGCAAAATCTAATATTCGGGAATGGAAATTCATCAAGCATTCCTTAGAACTCAAGAACGTATTGACCCAACAGGTAATGCGACTAGCCAAGAGAGACGGGGACTCTAGGCCCCGGCTGTTGAAAATAACCTTCCCCTCCTCCCACATGGCGGCTGCAACTCTGGAAGCATTTCGTGCTAATAGACGTCGGTTGCCAACTGGCATTCATATGCATCCGGATAGGCCCCACGAATGCAGGATCAAGCACAAACGAAAGCTGGAGCTGACAATTCCACTCGTGAACTGTCTTAATCATAAAAAAAACGTGTAAAGGACAGGGACTACCAACTCGGTAAACATCGTATAGGTAGGCTACCTGTCCACTCACACACGGCTCATATAGACAAACAGGAAGAAGCTCACGCGTTCCAAATTGAAAGCATAAACTGCCTATACACGAACGCCGCGAGCTTGCCAAACAAAATGGATGAGCTACGTGAACTTAGCAACGCCAATGATGCCCACCTGATAGGAGTATCCGAAACTTGAATAACGTCTCAGTTTACGGACTAGGAGTTAGCAATAACTGGGATGTCTTTATTTCGCAACGACAGAAAAACAGGAATGGGGGTTGAGGTTGCACTATACATACGGTCATGCCTGGATGCGCACCAACTTCACAACCAAGAGTTTCACAATCTTGATGAGTCAGTATGATGTTCAGTAAGATTGTCTACCACCTCGAGGTGTCTAGTTGGGGTCATTTACAGGAAGCCCACTGCCGACATCGAGTACGACAAACGTCTGCTGGTAGGATTAACTCGCTCTACGCGTCTCGGATTCTTTCATATCCTGATTCTAGGGGATTTCAATCTCCCTAGAATCAACTTCGTGGAACATACATACATTGGTGGTGCCAACTCTACTGAAGCTCTGTTCTTCAACTTTATCGATGACCTGGGATTATTTGAAAATGTGAAGTCGTCAACCCGTCGGAGAAACAGTGAGACGCCGTCGCGCTTAGACTGGGTATTCACAAATGAAGAATTCCTAGTTGACGACCTCTCAATCCTGGCTCCCCTGGGGAAAAGTGATCACGCCGTCTTATCATTCAGCTTTGTCAGCAAAACGGAGCTACGATATCCTACTAGCAACAAGCGCTGGAACTTCAAACGGTTGAATGTGTTAGCTTTACAGGACTATCTACAACAGGTGGATTGGTATGTTCACCCTCAACTTGAAGTGGATGCTCATTGGGATTTTTTACTGCACACGATCTTATGTGCTACTGAGCATTCAGTTCCTAAAATAGTCCCAAAAAGCTACAAGCAACCTCCAATCATCAAGAACCGCACTCGTCGTTTCCTAAGCCGCAAAAGGCACTGTTGGGATGAATATAAACGAACTGATAACAACGGCGCGTACAGGCAATACAAACATATAAGCAACATATGCACAAAGGCAATAAGAGAAGACAGGCTTCAGTTCCAGACCAAGCATATCAATAGATTCGTCTCCAATCCGAAAAGCTTGTTCAGTTATGCAGCTTCTCTTCGACAAGGCAAAGCTGGAGTTTCCTAACTGCTTGGTCCTAATGGCCCGACCAATAACGACAGTGTTGCCGCTAACCTTTTGGCTGAGCAATACTCCCGGACATTCCAGCTGACCCACATCAACCATACTGACGAAAGCTTCACCTGCACCTGTACAGGACTTTCCGAAGTGGACCTGAGTGCTGACCTGGTGCTCCGTAAACTGCAGCACCTAAGAAAAGACACTTCTCCTGGTCCGGACATGGTTCATTCCGCTGTATTGAGAGAAGCAGCTTCAATCCTGGCGACACCACTTAGCGTGATGTTTGCACACTCGCTAAGCAGGGTCAAACTACCGGAAATATGGAACCTGGCCCACATCACACCAATTTTCAAAGGAGGTCGACGCAGTGAACCCTCAAGCTACCGACCAGTGGCCCTTCTCTCCATACCTTCAAAAATTATGGAATCCCTAGTATACGACGGCATACTAGAACACTTACCATCCTCAAAGTTCTTCTCGCCCCAACAGCATGGTTTCAGAAAAGGTCATTCTTGTATGACCAACCTGCTGACTGTGGTGGATAGATGAACAACCATCCTTGATCGCAAGGGGAAGGTTGACGTCATCTACCTGGACTTCTCAAAAGCTTTTGATAGGGTCAACCATGCATGTCTTATCAAGAAGCTTGGACGATTGGGTATAAAACCCCCTTTGATTGATTGGCTCTCTTCATATTTAGAAAACCGACACTTTAAGGTCAGGGTTAACTTCACTCTCTCTCAGGCTATGGAATGTCCTAGTGGGGTCCCCCAGGGTTCAATACTAGGACCTCTTCTCTTCTTGATTTATATTAACGATCTTCCTCAACAAGTTTCATCTGACTTATTGCTTTTTGCAGATGATGTGAAACTTTGGAGAGAGATAAGTAATCATAATGATGTACTAGTTCTTCAGGAGGATCTGACTCGACTTCAAAGTTGGGCAGACGACAACGGACTTACCTTCAACACTTCAAAGTGCACGGTAGTCCATCTCAGACATGTTGCAGACTATAGTTATAACTTAGGTAACTCACCTCTAGAAGTTTCCCAAGTTGAAAAAGATTTAGGAGTGTTGGTACCATACGACCTGAAATCGTATGCGAACTGTGACAAAAACGCCTCTCAAGCAAACCTTGCACTGGTAACATTGAAGCGCATTTTTGGCCAGTTTGACGGTAGAACCTTCCATATAATCTTCAACAGTTTTATTCATCTCCATTTAGAGTACGGAAACATAGTATTTCCTCCCTCCCTCCAAAAGGATAAGGACACTCTGGAACGTATACAATGTCGAGCCACGAAATCAGTTCGGGGACTCAAATTCAAACCTTATGAAGAGCGCCTCAAATCACTTAACCTTTACCCGTTAGAGTACAGGCGTCTTAGAGGTGATCTTCTTATGACTTATAGTATCCTTAATACTTCTGGTCATCCCCTTAAACAGCTTCTTAAGCTTAGTCATAACACTAACCTGAGAGGTAACACCCAGAAATTGGAGACCCTATATAGCAGAACAGACTGCAGACACAACTTCTACTCCGTTAGAGTTGTCAAGTGCTGGAAGTCGCTGCCGACTGAGCTAGTACAAGCGACTTCCCAGGAGTCCTTTAAGAGGAAACTTGACTTATTCTTAAGGACTAAGGATAACATATTATTATGATTTGCCAAATTCTTTTTTTCCTCTATTATCGTTCATATACCTAGGTTCTTACCTGGAGGTATTGGTGATCCACTGCTACCAGACACGGAAGCCCGTTAAGCGAAAGCTTCTTCTATTCCGTCCTCAACCATTTGAACCACTTCAACCATATTAAGCGTTGATGTTTTTATACTGGACTACAGGTTTTGTTGTACTTTGCGGTGGCCTGTTGATTATTGCTCCACAGCGCGTATTACGTTCTTCTGCAGGTTCGTTATGGGTGTTTTCAGAACTGTATCGTCTGAATAATCATCAAGCATATGGTGACAAATTAGTAATTGAATCCATTCGTCTGGTTTTTATTATTTCCTGAATTATGCTATCCACGAAAAATTTGTCAAGGCGCAAATTGCTTTTCTTGGGATTGTATTTTGTGTTCATTGTGACAAAAATTGGTTCACGTTATTTCCGTGCAGCTAGTTCAAGCTCCCTGAACTATGAAAAGCATTTATTAAATCCAACCGTAACTTTTGATTCATCAGTTGACCAAAATGGCGAAAGAGGTTCTTGGATGAACAGGAAGTTGTTGGGAATACAAGTTGTGCGTCCACACCCATCGTTAAATTGTACGCCTTTAGCAATCGAAAATTTTCCACGGGACATTTTTACGCAGTCCCAAAGGCAATATGGAGCCGTTATAATCCATCTGGTTGTCTCAATTTATATGTTCATTGGTCTGGCATTACTTTGTGATGACTACTTCATTCCTTGTCTGGAGAGAATTTGTAAAGGTTTGTTTAATTTTTCACTTTACCTGTACTTTATAGTATTGCACCTTCAGCCTGATGTCGCTGGAGCAACGTTTATGGCTGCTGGAAGTTCTGCTCCCGAGTTGGCAACTACCTTGGTTGGAGTATTTATTGCAAAAGTGAGTGATAGAAGTCTTTTTGGTTTCAATGGTGAAACATACCTTATGATCTTCATCTTGCTGTTTTTGCGAAATTGTGATTTTGGAATTATCACCTAACGGCAAACTAGGCGAATGATCTCAGTAATTGGTAATGTGCATTCTCTGTGTTTGTATTTGCAAACGTGATGATTTGCATTTATTATCTTGTCTTACTCAGCGTCAAAAATTAGTTTCTTTGACCATATGTTTGACGGTTTGTGAGATCGGTCTCAAATGAACAAATTTGTTGCCTGTAATATTATTATTCGAAACATGTTCTTAATCCCATAACACTTTCATTAAAGATTATATACCTCCTCATGTTTGATCAATTAGACCCAGACGTTTTACAGGAATTCAAGTGAAATAATCATAAATAAACAAGAAATCTTAAGAAATACATTTGATTCGGTGCATAGTTCATAGAGTCTAAACGTGTTACTTTGACTAATTGTTTAAAAAGTTGTGAAAGTGCATTCAAACAGGAATTATTTTTCACTTTTCTCTGTAGCTGCGTTTTTCATGTCAGTTTATACAAACTTGTATCAGGGTAAAAAGTTGCGAATATGTTATTCAGAAAAAGATTCTGGTTGATTGATTACATGAGTTCAGTGCTTACGAATTTCCTGGATATTCGTTTAATTTGGTAACACCATATTTCAGAGTTTTGTGCATGTTAATTACAATTTTTATCTCGCTGTGCATCAGCTACTAGACGAGTAGTTTCTTGTAAGTCAAGTGATATAATCTGTGATTTCATAGTGTATCCCTAGCATAGTTCTTGAGATTAAGGTTTTTTAGAAGTCTTGTTAATATATTAGGAACTCAGTTTGTATGACAGTTCATCTCACAATTTCAACTAGATAGTGGTGATTGTAGGTTAGCAATTCATAACGACATAAATTTTATGATATAACTTGTGGTCAAATCATACATGTTACTCTAGTCCCAATAAAGTTCGCATTGTTTCTTTTGTCGTTTTGGGTAGATTTCCCCGTACTTTTTGTTCTCATAACTAAGTCAACACATCATTTACTATTCATCTCAAGCATCACTTGCTCGAGGGTAAGTCCGTATCCTCACCTTGTCTAGATATATAGATTGGTTTACATAATACAGTTTATCCTTGTTTTGTTTTTTTGAAAAATGCTTTCGACAGGATGATATCGGCCTTGGAGCTGTTGTGGGTTCTGCTGACTTCAACATAATGTTGGTTGTCAGTGTTAGTGCGCTATTCGCAAAACAGGTACTATCTTTTTATATTTAACGTGTACTGATAATTACTTTTTTGTGCGTTTGGTTCATTTTAATTGCATTATAAATATGACATGTATGTGATTGATGATAAATGTTAGACATCAAGCTAATACTATTGAGTATTGTCCCTTTATTCGATTTATAACGGTTAGTTATCCTTTCATTCACTATTTCTTTTGTTGTGAATATTAGTAACTATAACTTTATATCCCTTACTCAGAATGACCATTTTACAATATATAAATACCCATCGGTATTGATTATATTTGATGTCTTCTATCCTCTTCCTCTAATTACAATTTTCTGTTTCGTTCTAAACATCTATATTAAATTCACTAACTGAAGTATGTCAAACCTTCGTATAGAATTATATTACTGTTTTTAAACTGTAGGCTTTTTACAGCCGGTAAGCAGCCTGGAAATGGGACCAATTGATTTTGTCGTTCAAATATCTCTCTTGCTTCATTTAAATTTATTGAGAGACTAGATCGTGTGAAATAGTTTGTGCCACCGTTTCAGGTGTCTTTAAAAGACCATGTTTTTTTAGTATTAGAGAGTAGAATAATCAGTGTTTCTTCGACGTAAAGACTAACCATACCACTATGCAAACTACAGCGCCAAATGGGGGTCAGATACGATGTTAATTTCGTCGTAACTTGATTTTTTTTGAAAATAAGTATATTGAGTTGACTTCTAAGTGACGGGATCTACCCAATACGACTATTTATATATAAAACCATAATATCATCAGACTACTATAGTTACTAAACACTTTCAAGATGTTATTGATGAAGACTATTGAGTCTCACATTACAAACTTTGATAAATCCATTATGTATAAATATTCCTCATTTCCATTTGAGTACTTATATCTGTTCAGATCTGCAAATGAAATTGGTTAGTTGGTTGTTATCATGACTATTTCTTTTCGGCTTCCACCAAGATGCTCTTCTGTGTTACATTCGTATTATTTAATGTATCTGTTGCTCTATTCTACTGGTAACTTTGGTATTGTATTGTCTTATGCATTTACATTTACTTGAATTACTTAATGCGATATAAGCGGTAGACCTGATAAAACATATATGACATCAAAAGATAAAAATATAATGGATAAAATGCGATCTTTGGCATTGAAGTAGAAGTCGGTCTCCAATAAAGCTTGTCATATTGTAGCTTATATGTGACCATGTGCAGATTGAATTTCACATATTTAACACTAGACTAGCTAGTTTCAAGACCTATAGGGTTCATAATTTCTCCAATATCGAGCCAAATGTTTGATCATTGTATTGAATACGTGTTTTCAAGTTTCTTTCCATTCTGTTTTCATTCTATTCAACGATTTACTTTCAGAAAAAGCAAACAAATACATAACACGAATAATTTCAACATTTTTGTTAAGGAAGACTTTTGTTATAATTAAATCTATCCGAGTTATTGGACTATTCGTTTTTGATTGACTTACTTCAATCATGGCATTCTCGTTTTCATTTATATTTCGCAACTGAGTTCTTTCTTTCTTACCATTTATTTCGATATCTCTCGTTTCTTTCCGAAACCAGTTTGTATTATATATATATATATTCGGTTCTGTTATCCTTGTTTACTTCATAGGTGATTTATCTTAATTGGTGGCCATTAGTACGTGATTCCGCTGTTTATCTGTTATCTATCATACTCTTGGCATTAGTTATTTATGACGAATTAGTCTATTGGTAAGTCAAAGTTCCTTTCTCTTTTCTTTTTTCTTGATATAAAAACGAACTGATATTCTTTATTGAATTTCTACCATCCTATTTCATGAATTATGTTAAAGATTAGTGGATATTGTAGGACAAAAAATGCTATTTGGTTTTTGGAAGTTTGAGTATATATGCATGTGTGTGCGTGTGTGTTTGTGTGGACTCATGTATCATTTACCGTTGACTTTTGTAATAAAGGTTTCCAGTGACTTTGTCGTTGTCGTTTGGTTAGTTTTGCTTTCAAAGTTTGGAAATAGTTAACCTTTCCCTATAAATAAATAAGTCAGTTGAATTTTTTGGCTTTTATTTCTATCCTGAGGGAACAAATGGCGTATGAACAAATCGTTGGTCACCGGCTACCATGGGACTTTATCTCTTTACGATGCTCCACTGCCTTGTGGACTAGACCTCTAGGTCAAAGGATACAGGTGTGGACCCCTAGGAAAACCACCTGCTTCTGTTTGGGCACCTGGGCAGTATCACAACCCTCACACAAATCAAATGAGATTTGTGTGGCGCATATGTATCTGGTGCTTCCTTGTTCCATTATTTGTGTGTTTAAATAAAATAAAATCAAATCTGTCAGCTGTCCTCCATGCACGACTTTGCACTGTAGTCCATCGTATGAGTTTTGGATAATGTTGACAATCTTCTGAGGAACTCCATAGTGTCGAAGAAGTTTCCATAATGTTCTCCTGTCCACGCTGTCAAACGCCTTCTCATAGTCGATGAAGTTGACGTATAGTGATTAGTTCCACTCAACTGATTGTTCAACGATGATCCGTAGTGTCGCAATCTAGTCTGTGCACGACCTATCCTTACGGAATCCAGCCTGATGATCCCTATGTTGGGCATCTACTGCGTCTTTCATCCGATTCAGCAGCACTCTGTTGAAAACTTTTCATGGTACTGATAGCAGACTGATGCCCCTGTAGTTCTCACATTTGCTCAGATCTCCTTTCTTTGGTATCATGATGAGGTATCCTTCTTCCCAGTCTGTTGGCACTTGTTCCTCTTCCCAGATCTTCTTGAATAGAAGGTGAAGCATGTTTGCAGTTAATCCAATGTCTGACTTCAGTGCTTCAGCTGGTATATTGTCAGGTCCTGCCACTTTCCCACTTTTGATTTGTCTGATGGTCATCTTGACTTCTTCGATCGTTGGTGGAGTGATATCTATCGGAAGGTCAGTGTGTGCTGCATCGATGTTCGGTGGATTCAATGGGGTGGTCTATTCAGCAGTTCCTCGAAGTATTTTGCCCATCTTTTCCTTTGTTCTTGAATCTCAGTGATTGTCTTTCCTTCTTTGTCCTTGACTGGTCTCCCTGGTTTGCTATATCTCCCTGCCAATTTCTTCGTTGTATCATATAGTTGTCTCATATTCCCTTCTCTTGCAGCTTTTTCCGCCGCCGTTGCTAGTTCGCCTTTAGGTATACAGCTATTTGTAATATCATGAAGCGAATAACGGTTTACTTTGAAAAACCGTTGGTTTACATGTGGTTTTCCAGGGTTTTCCGACTCCTCTAGATGGACTCTCCGTGTCCACCAATCGGGTTTATGAACCGGACATTCACTTTTCGTCCTCTCAATTTCGTAAACAGTATTAATGCGACGAGAAGGCAGTTAGTAGGACTTCCCTGAAAGAGGCTATATACGCGTGGCTATGTGAGGGCATTTGTAGAGGGAGAGCGGACTCTCCGCACTCTCGGCCGTACCAGGGCATTTGGGGGCACTTAACAGATAAATCTCAAGTAATTATACCTCCAATTATTTTAAATTAAATATGAATTCGCTGATTTTCAAAAAAGACAGCTAGTATGTACTAGGAGTGAGATTCTCTTTTATTATCTCAATACAGATTGTACCATCCAAATATACCCTTATCATCTGAAATGATGAAGATTTTCAGCTCAAATGGATCAATAAAAAAATAAGCTATAATGGTCTTCATACTTAAAAACCCTGTTATTTTCGTATATGGGTACTGATACACTTCAATATTACTATTTTTTAATTTGTCAGAAGTTCTTACTCTTTCAAGGTGATCTTGAGTACTGTCAAAGATATAAGAGAGATTGTCTGTTCCGTGACAGGATGCTTCTTGATAAACCTATGAAGGAAGCTAGGTTAGACGTGGTCTTAATAACCCGGAAGGTTGATGGCAGTGTCCAGAGGACAACCACTTGACGCCATTCATACGCCCTTTTTGTAATTAGTTTTAGAAGTGTTAACTCTGTACTTATAAGATATTACCCTGGGGGATCGTTTGTTAAGATGAGCTGTGTTATTTCTATGGTCGATCTTTTCAACTCTTCCTTTGTTGTGAAAAGACACCGTCAGTGGGAATGCTGGTTGTCTGAGGGGAACACTTTGCAGTTTTCACACCCTTGTATAGTCAGCAGTGCGACTTCGGCCTTTAACTTTGAGTTTACTGCTTTTAATATAACTTCTCTGCAACCGACGTACTTGTTATGATAGGATTGAAAAAAGTGTTCCAGCCAATATATTTCGATTGTTTAATCACGGTATCTAGGCCAAACTGCCACATTAAATTCATCAGTTACGAGTTCTTAAGACGATTGTAAATATCTCTAACGCTGTTGGTAAGACTGAGTTATCTTTTTGTTGATATTCAAGACGGAATTCCGATCAACCTTCGTTGGCACATGTGTCTCATAGCCGTTGAATAAGTTAGTGGTCATGTGGACTCAACAGCTCAATGGATAAGGCGTTGGCTTTTGAAACTAGAGGTTATGGATTATTATCCTTGTGTGAACATCAATATCAAGATGTGGTATCGAACAAAATGAACGTCCTAAAGTGCACCGCGAGCCACAATCTATTTATTTTAGATTATAAGGAACTCCTAACATATTATTCTTAGAATTATCTTCTTTAAAGCTTCATATCCATGGTCTCTATTAGTTTGTCTACATTATTCCCCTTCTATGTTATTATTATTATTATTATCTTGAAACAGGTATGAATCAGGAATACTTATTATTGTCTATGGATTATATGTATTATTAATGTATTATAATCCACGTATTGATGCATTTTGGCGTGTTTGGTGTCGTGAACATCCAACATTTTGTCCACGTGCAATCCATGCAGATCAAGGAATCCCTGATCAGATTCAACAACACAGTGGTGCATTTGGACATTTTGATATTGACAATAAATCATTGCTACCTAGTCCAATCTGTCATGAACCATCAAATATTAAGACAGGCTATAAACGTTTTGAAGGAGATGAAGATTTCTGTTCAGAAAAACCAGGTTACTATTTAAATTCACTTAGTATTGTTTGTTTGAATCTTCTCATTGATGTTTTAGGACTGCAACTGGTCAGTCTCTAATTGGCATATGTGCATACTGTGCATTTCGCCTAGATATAGCCTAAATTCACAAGCATGGCAAGCAAAGATGGATAGTGGCTAGCAGTGGAATCCAGGATAAAGCGCGTTTCGTCCTATTTGGGACTCGTCACCTGGATGTATCTGCATCTCAGAGTTGATGTTCACTCTGGGACTCGAACCCAGCACCTTTCACTTCAAACGCCATCGCGTTATCCACTGGGCCACTGAGTCCTGATAACGCTATGGCGTTTGAAATGCTCTCACATGACCACGTGCATACAACCACTGCTAGGGAAGTCCTACTCACTCCCATCTTGCGGCGTAATTATTCTTTACAAAATTGAGAGGATGAAAAGTGAGTATTCGATGCTTTAACCGAGTTAGTGGACATGGAGGATCCACCTAGAGGAGTTGGAAAACCCTGATTCCAAACCAATGGTTCACATAGGCTCCAGGGTCCAGAGGGAGCAAAAAGTGTATGAACCTATTGTTGGTCACCGTCTATCATGTACATTGCAGTCCCAAACATCAATAAGAAGATTCAAACAAACAATAATAAGTGAATTTAAACTTCACCCCATTGCACAAGCAAGTGGCTATCAGGACTCAGTAGCTGAGTAAATAACGTAATGGCGTGTGAAGCGAATGATACTGGGTTCGAGTCTGAGAGTGAACATCAACTCTGAGATGCAGGTACATCCAGCTGACGAGTCCCAAATAAGACGAAATGTGCTTTGTCTTGGATTCCACTGCTAGCCACTCTCCATCTTTGCTTATTTGGGGAAGAATTCAATAAAAATGAATATATTTTAGTGTGAATTTATTCACAACTACAGTAATGCTGTTATGTAGTTATGTATTTGTACAGTATAATAGTATTAATAATAATTATTATCATTAAAACACAAATATTAGTACACGGAGGAACCGAAATTCATGCACCAAACTTCATCATTCAATTTGTGTGAGGGCTGTGGTACTGCACAGGTGCTCAGATGGTCCTCTTAGTGGGCCACACTTGGATCTTTTGACCTACAGGTCTAATCCGCATGACAGTAGAACAACGCTAGGAGATGCAGTGCCATGGTAGCTGGTGACTAACGATAAGTTCATACACTTTTTGTTTACTCAGGATCCTGGAGCCCCTGTACACTTTCGATTTGGAATCAGGGTTTTCCAAGCGCCCTAGGTGGATCCTCTATATCCGACAAGGCAGTTAAAGCATCGGATATTCGATTTTTATCCTCTCAATTTCGTCAACAACAGTAATACCACGAGAAGGCAGTGAGTAGGAATTTTCTGGATTTAGCTGTATACGCGAGGCCATTTCGAGAGGGAGAGCTGACTTTTCCCACTCTCGAACGTACTAGGGCATTTGGAGACTACAATCAGTCTAATAACTGATATTTCTTCCTAGTAAAAGCTTTGTACATTAATCAGTTCTTCGGAAACCTTTTCACTGAATACGGATTTTACATATGTACACTTCAGTACACCTTTCATAAACTTCCATTGCTCTCATCGAAGAAAAATGGCTTGAAATCTCTCTCAATATTTTATAAATGTAAAAGAGTAATAATCTTTCCACTGTTCTTGTCTTTCTTATTTAGACTATACAACAGAGAAATTTGAAATTATTACTGGCGGTATGGTCGACCAACAACCACATTGTGACACTAACACTGGCAAATTAGATGATGTTGAAACACAAGTTCGTTCAGGTGATTCTATTGAATCATGGTTTGATACTTGTTTTGCACCGCTCAAATTACCTAGTCGTGAAGGTGTACGCGGTAAAATACGTTATGCATTTTGTGCATTTTTATGGCCATTACGTTGTGCTTTATGCTTAACTATACCAGATGTACGTAAAACAAGGTGGCAACAAATACCAGCTTCTCATTGGCTATCTTTTTTGATGTGTTGTTTTTGGATTGGTATATTCACTGTGATCATGATGTGGATGATTACAGTAATTGGTAAGTATCTATAATTATTATTTTCATTTCGCTAGAGTTTTCTTAGTACATAATAGAACAATTCTAGTGAATTATGATTAAAGCCTTTTTCTATGATGTTGGAGATAGGAATATGTGAATAAAATTATTTTTCTTAAAGTACACTTACTTACTTACCTTGTGAAGGCTCTTTACTCGAACACTACCAGTCAAGTCAGAGCTTATGGCGAACTTTCTTCCTTCCTATACTATATCCTTATATACAACCTATCTTTTATATATTACCACTACTTCTATGAATCCGGTGTTCATCCTTTTGTGATAACGAGGTATGGCCACTTGGACCGATGCATATATGTGCCTGGTCCTACGTTATAGCTGACTGACTGACTGGCTTAAAGTATACTTATGAACTGATGCAACTCATTTACTTAGTAAATGGTTATGCTCTTAGCTATAAAAGCCAGTGATACTACCCAGACGTAAATGGTTACAGAGAAGGGAGGGCATGTAAACTATTTGTTCCAACCCGAGAGGAATAACCACACACTGGTTCATCACTCTAGTTTCTTCTGTCTAGCAAACAAGTTACATTTGTAAGTTGTAGTTATCGAAAATTGGCTTCAGAATATTAGTAAAAACACCAGACATATGTTTCATCCTAGTATTGGACTCTTTGACAGTGGGCATCGACAACCTGATCATAGGTCGAAGCAAAGATCCTCAGGTTTAATGAATGCGTAATAGTGAGGACTCTCATACTAAGACGAAACAAATGTTTAGTGCTTTTTATTTTTCAGAAGGGGTTTTGCGGAGATTTCAGTATTTTTCATAATTGAAATCATGAGTCAATTGGAGCTAGACCACCATGGAAAATCTGAAAGCACTAGATGGTCGTTTCGTCCTAGTATGGGACTCTTCAGCAGTGCTTATCCACGATCCCGGCTCACGAGCGAGATTCGAACCCATTACCTACCAGTCTCGCTCCAGAGCACTTAACCGATAGACCACTGAGCCGGCATCCAGCGGTGTAAATGTCTTTATTTATTTATTTATTTAAACACATATATATTGGTACAAAAGGGCACCAGGTACATATGCGCCACACAAAATAATGAAAGTAGGTAGATAAAGGATGAAAAGATAAGGCGGGCTGAAATGTACAACCAGAAGATTCTTTCAGTTAGGAAAGTTAGAACCATTCTTTATGTAGAAAGTAAAAGAAGGTTGCAGCAGGATCGCCACTGGCTTCTATTCTGAGCCATATCCGATAACGTCTCTAGCCACTGTGTTGCACTATCTCTCGGACCCCAACCAGGGAGTCGTGAAGGACCAACGGAAGCTAGCCCTTTGCAGCTCTCTTTCATGCCACGACACCATGTCATACACTGACCTCCTCTCCGCTTTCTCCAACCAGTCCCAGGGTCGGCAAATAATGCACGACGCGGAAGTCTCTGGGACGACATTCGTAAAACATGTCCGAGCCACCGAAGTCGGTGTTTCAAGATGGTGACACCAATTGAATTATCGTCTCTGCGCCCGAACACACGATGCCGAACCTCTGCATTACTAACATGGTGTTGCCACTGGATGTCAGCAATCCTTCGGAGACAACGATGATCGAACACAGAGAGACGTCTAACATCCTCAACTCGGAGAGGCCAGGTTTCACAAGCATAGAGCAAAACTGCTCTCACCGACGCGTTGTAGATCCGACCTTTTACAGCCAGACTAACATCACGAAGGCGCCAAAGATGGCCCAGATTGGCATAAGCCGCTCTGGCTTTCATTAAACGTGCATCAATCTCATCACTCACGCCACCACCAGCACTTATATAGCTACCTAGATACACGAACTTCTCAACTACTTCGATCTCCTCACCATCCAGGGTGAGTACAGGATGAGAATCCTGCCAGTCTTGTAGAAGTACTTTGCACTTGGAGGGTGCAAAGCACATGCCGTACCTGCGGACACTGATTGCCAACTGATTAAGTGCTGATTGCATGCCTTGGGCATTATCGCACAGTAAGACAATATCATCCGCATACTCAAGGTCGAGAAGTCGTTCTCCAGTCAACATATCCACACCGCCATTACTTACATCCATCAGAGCTGTTTCTAGGATGTCGTCGATGGCAAAGTTGAAGAGGAATGGGGAGATCGGGCAACCCTGCCTAACCCCACTGCTCGAATGGAACAAGGGAGAAAGGTGGTTGTATGCCCTCACTCTGCCTGAGGTGTTCGTATACAGGGCTTTTAAGATGTTAATGAACTTCTCAGGCACACCATTCTTCAATAGACAATCCCAGAGAACAGTCCTGTCCAACGAATCGAAGGCCGCCCTGATATCAAGAAACACTACGATTGTTGGCCTGCGATAAGTATGACGGTGTTCTAACATTTGGCGGAGGGTGAAGATGTGATCAATGCATCCTCGACCAGAACGAAAACCAGCCTGCTCCTCGCGAGTCAATCGTTCTCGGGTTTTAAACAACCTACGAAGAATGATAGAAGCCAATAGTTTGGACGCGATCGAAAGTAGACTTATCCCCCGATAGTTGCTACAGGAACAACGTTAACCCTTTTTAAAGATAGGGACGACTATTGACTCATTCCAAAATGTTGGGACACTTTCTTGCTCCCAAACCTTTCCAAACAACGCAGTCAGTTCCTTAGCCAGAAAGTCACCACCATCTTTAAAAAGAGCCGGAGGTAAGTCATCTGGGCCAGGTGATTTATAACGTTTCAAGAGTTGGAGTTCCTTGCGGACTTCCGCCTCGTTTGGTGGATCAGTCGTCACCGGCCATGGGGAGCAGGACAAGCTGGTTGATGTTGCCGGAGCAGCAGGCCAGTTGAACTGCCCTTCGAAAAATTCCGCCCATCGTCCAAGACGTCGACAGATGTTAGTGATTGGCATCCCGTCATCCTCGTAGATTGTTTCACTCACACCAGACTTCTTGCTGCCAGTGGCTCGGATGAGTTGGAAGAGCTTCCGGCAGTTACCAGATGCAGCTGCTGCTTCCATCTCATTAGCACGCTCCGACCACCAGGCTTCCCGGTCCTTACACAAGCTTTGCCCGATTTCATTACGTAACAGCCTTCGTTTGTGGTCAAACTCACGGTCACCCGGAGTAGACCGACGGGCTTCCATCAGTTGTAAGGAGCCAGAAGAAACCCAGTGGTTGTAAGCGGGACGTTTCGCGAAGCCGCAAGCGGCTTTACTCGCCATTTTCATGGCGTCATGAAGATGCAACCAATGCTTACCTATACTTTTCGGTGGGGTGGTAGCTAGCCTAGAGGCTAGCTCCGCTCGATACTTACTTGCAACAGAAGTTGCAGCCAGTTTACTAATATCAATCCGTTGGTGGTGGTCAATCCTTCGGCCACTGAAAAGTAAGGTGAGATTGGCGCAGACCAGGGCATGATCAGACTCCAGATAGGTACTCCAAAAGGAGCGGCAGTCTTGTACACAACCACGCCAGCGGTAGCTGATCGCGATGTGATCAATCTGAGTCCAGGTTTGGGATGCAGAGGGAGGACGCCAGGTGGCACACCGGCGATGACTGTGCCGGAAGTTAGTGCTGGCCAGAAACAGGTTGTGGTCTGTGCACAGTTGCAGCAAACGGTCCCCGTTATCTGTCCTGCGACCAACAAGTCCCCATCGGCCACCTAGACGACTCTCTTCTGTGCCTAGACGCCCGACCTGTGCATTCAAGTCTCCGGCTAGTACTACAATATCTGTCGAACGCGCTTTCTGGAGAAGAACTGTTAACTGATGGTAAAACTCATCCTTGATTGCATCCGGGCTGCAATCTGTCGGGGCATAGGCGGAGATGACGAAAAGACACCGTTTCTCACGCCGATTTCTTCTCACTTTGATGGAACTTTCTAATCTAACAGCACATAACCGACTGTTAATGGGGATCCAATCGATTAGTGCTGCCTCAGCTCTAGCGCTTAGTGCGACACCAACGCCAGCAAGACCAGACGAAGATGCCACAGGGTCCCCGGATAAGCGCACGTGGAACAAGCTTTTCGAGGCGACAGATGGAGAGCGGATTTGTAGTACTTCACTAGAGTCTTGAATACGGGTCTCGGATAGACAACAAACGTCAACATTAAGACCTTCCAAAGACATAGCCAGCCCTATCTGTTGTCTGATCTGCATTAGTGTGCGAACGTTGAAGGAAGCCAGCTTGAACGGCGTACGTGGTTTCAGAAAGACTGCCTCAGTATTCATAATCGGTGGAAGCATTCACTTTCAACCAGACAGTGACTGGAGATCGTTTAGATAGGACAGATTTTCCACCAAGAGCGAGCTGCTGCATAAGTTGAAGAGTAAGGTTACACAAATTGGGGATAAAAGGGGGTGAATTAGCGATATGGTAAGTAATAATAATAATAATAATAATAATAATAATAATAATAATAATAAAGGTAATAATAATAATAATGTTAATTGTTTTGCTTTTAGTATGACCAGGGATATCGTCAATAAAGTTCATAATTTCATTCATTTGTTTGTGTGTGGGCTGTGATACTGCCCGGGTGCCCAAACCGAAGCAGGTGGTTTTCTTAGGGGACCACACCCCGAGCCTTTGACCTAAAGGTCTGATCCACAAGGCAGTGGAGCATCGTGAGGAGATGCAGTCCCATGGTTGCCGTTGACCAACAGCAGGTTCTTCCGCCATTCGTTCCATCAGGATACTGGAGCCCATGTGCACCATTGGTTTGGAATCAGGGTTTTCCAACTCCCCTAGGTGGACCCTCCGTGTCCACCAATCCGGTTATAGCGCCGAACATTCGCTTTTCGTCCTCTCACTTTCGTAAACAACACCCCCGCCACGAGAAGGCAGTGAGTAGGACTTCCCTGGCAGAGGCTATATATTCGCTGGCCATGTGAGAGCATTTCGAGAGAGAGAGAGAGTAGACTCTCCCCACTCTCGGCCGTACCAGGGCATTTGGGGGCCAAAGTGAGTGCGAACGCACTGCCTCCAGGGAGAAATGTCTAAATGTCTAA